CCACCCCCCCTAAATTTGTGGGGCTTTTGGGGCTGAAACCCTGGGGTTCTGCTGTTTGTGGGCCCGGCCCCAAAAACGTGTTTGTCTACTAGCCCACATCGAGTACATGCGAAATATATGTCATCCCATGTCCTGCAATCCCGTAGAATGGTGCAGCACGTACTCAAACGTTGAAAAACGAGAAAAATCGGCTTTAAAAGCTGTTTTTTTCTACCATTAAACGTTTTCTATTCGCAATGCGAACCACTTCACAAGATAGAAAGCGAAAAGGCGCGTCGAATGCATATCTTGTTGCCTTTTGTTGATATGATTTTATGGGGGAAAACCAGTTTACAACAACGGCCTGTTTTTCGGAAAAAACGAGATTTTTAAGTATTTTTCTGCGAACGTGGTCAACATTTCGGAAGTTTTTCTCCGCTAGTGATTTTGTAGCTCTGCGCATATAAAAGCTAATCGGGCGGTACCAGCTCATAAAAGTGTTTCACTAAAAAATGATGAAAATGCGCACAAAACGACGGTTCTGTTGGACAATGGGATTTCCACAGGTCTAGAAGGCCACCATGCCATTGTTTTAAAATCTTTTAAACGTAATATTCGTCACCAGGAGGCCGAGTTGTACTAGTCCTGTTACTCCCGAACAATTCGGACAAAGTCGATATCAACTCTGGTACGCTTCCAAAAGAATCACTCCTATGCGGTGCTTGATTTGTGTGCCTCAGCTGATCAAGAAGTCATCACTGTACACTTTAAATAGACCCCCAGTAGTTTTATGTATGTACTTTACTCAAGTTTCCTAAAGAAGCCATACATTACATGCGTTTTGTATTTTGTATTCTAGGCTTAGACACCACATTTAATTTGGGAAATTATTTTGTAACGCCTACCATATTTCGTAACACAAGCCTTCAAAATCGAAAAACAAAAAAAACACCGGTATTCGTTGGGCCCATAATGATACATTATCGAAATAATGCAACAGCATAACAAGAATTGTTAACGTACATTAAACGAGCAGCAGATGGTCAGTCTCCTCCTGCAATAGGTAGTGACACAGCAGCCGAGATCAAGGAAGCAGTTGCAGCCGTTTTTCCACAAGTAAACAAGTAATTTTCTTTCAAACAATGTTGTTTCGGTGGATGTTTCACCTTTATTTCTTTTTCTACATAGATGGCTCAACTGTTCGGACTACCCCCATGACAACAGTTACAATGGAGCCAGGTATGATAATTATTTAAAGTGAATCCATAATTAGCAAGAAGACGTGAGAGCTCTTCTTCTCAAAACTCAAATAACAAAGGTGTCTTATCTTTTTCCTTTCAGACTGTAGATGGTCTGAGTGGACAGATTTAGATTGTCAAGTGACGTGTGGTGATGGTATCAGATTAAGAAATCGCACTTGCATCAATAGTGAAACTGGACGTCAGTGCGATCGGTGCAGTGGACTACTCTATGCCTTACAACCGTGCGATCACCTGCCTCCATGTCCTGGTCAGTCGTATAATTTGTGTTTTCTCTACAGATCATAATGCTATCTTGCGTTTCTTATTGCAGGAATTATGCAAACGACCGGTGAAAGTATTTTGCAAACAACAGCGAAGCTAGTGGAAGCGACTACCAAGGCCGGTACGCTCTGTTCCTTTAGCTTTCTATCTAACACTAAGTTCGTATGTAAGAGTACTTTCCATCGGACATTGTACGATCATGGTAAGTGCTTAGCTCATACGATTTCTGACATCATCAATAGACACGATTGTAACGTAACTTTGTTATTTATGGTCATCAACAAGAACTGTGCATATTTTTCTTTTTTTCTTATAATGTGAGTTCGATGCATACATGTAATTTTCGTAAAGACATATTTGGGAAAGCTCAAATTACTACTTACGATTAATTAATAGTAATTTGAATACAGTAAGACGATTTTCTTTAATACATGAAGTTGTCTTTTCTGTGCACAGTTTGCTGTTTGCTTCCGTGCACAAAAAAATCTTTTGGCATTTTTGTGCACGGTTTTTGAAGAACGAGGCTAATCTATATCGTATTGTTTGACTATTAAATTTTTTATTAGCATAAATTCTAGAAGACAATTGAAAAAATAGGCGCGCATAGCGGAGAGTATGCATTTATACCTTTTCAATGTAATAAAATCATTTTCTTCAACTACTTTGGATACATAATTCCTACCAATTCTTTCATTATAATAAAATTTCCCCTTTTCGTTACGTCGTACTATTTGATACAATTTGTTATTACACAAAATAAATGATGTGGTCGCAGACCGATCTTGTGTCCATGCACCGCAACCATCTTTTCCAACTAATTGTTTATTCTCTTCGCTATTCTTAATTATAAAGGTTGAAGCTTTTGTGATAAACTTAGGCGGCTGTAAATCAATTATTGAAATGATACGCTAATGACTTGTTGGATGACATTAGCTGCGTCGAAAAATATCTGCCGTGATAAAAATGCTGCCCTATCTGGTTTGTTTTCATCATTTTCTTCTTGCTCCAAAAAATTCGTTGGGATAGCGGGCGTTGGGAGAAGTTCTTGTTCATTTTCGTTAAAATTAATATTTGACCTCATTTTTTCATGCGAAGATGGCTGTTGGTGTTGTTCATATGAAAATGGTGTACTAAAATCCATTCCTGATTGTGTATTCATCTGTTGTTGATGTGTAGAAAGAAGTGGCACGAAATGGTTTCCGCGCCATATTCGATCACGTTTCGGCTTCGATCCGGACCACATAAATTCTACCGCTGATGAGTTTTGCGAATCTTCTCGTGGTTCAAATGTCCGATTCAGTAATGTATAATAACCATCTTTTTCACCACTGACATCTCCGTTAACATTCGGATACACCGATCGTACAGGACGATGAAATACCGATGATAGAGCTGTTAAAGTGAGAACACTTGTATACTCTCCATTATTTATGATCCGTAATACATGATCTTCGACAGATTCATCATCA